TGTAGCCTGGTGCTTCCCTAATAAACCCTGTAATCTGTGAGCTCTGTGTGGCCACTGCAGCAAATTATCGAACCCAGGAGAGGTGGTGGGTGCTTTGGGAGGAACGGTTGGTGAAAGGGCTGGAGGGAGGCAGCATGTCTGGCCTTGCAGTAATAGGCCTTGGGTTACTGCTGGTAATCCTGTCTTCCTCCTGCAGGATTAGAGGAGGTCAGAATATGTGGCCTCCTCGCTGTTTTTGTATAAGGGGTATCACCAAAACTCCATGGGTACTTCGTCACCAAAACTGAGTGGAATCCTTAAGTCTTTTCATGTTCCCCCTACAGAAAATGAAGAGTATCTGTATGGTGTGTTGCAGCCAACAGAGGCAGCACAGCTCGCCAGCAGAACGGCTGGCTCAGGGCTGTGGCTATCAAGACCACGGCCTGTGACATGGTCTTGGTGCATCTGTCAATCTATCAGGAAGTTCTGGTGCAGGAAAAGCATTTCTTTAAAAAGCATCCTTTAGAAGTTCACGCAACACATTCATCAAGTACCCAGCATATGCTAAGTAATCTTACGTACATGTTTACAAACTCCAAGAGTTGCTGTGATGGTTAATGTTATGCATCCACTTGGCTAGGCCATGATTCTCACTGCTTTGACAGCTATTATGTAATCATCTTCCATTCTGTGATCTGATGTGAGCAGACAATCAGCTAGAAAGGGAGTTTCTTTTGGGGGTGCAGCCTGCATCCAAGATATTTGGATGTTCTGGGAACGTGTGCACATGCTTTCTCGATCCCGCACTCGTCTCATGACAGTCTCCACAAATGCAGGAGCCATTTCTTTGCTGTAAATCTTTCTATACATTTATATATACGCTTCAATGGTTTTACTCCTCCAGAGAATCCAGCCTAAAACAAGTGTTGACAAGAAAATAAGCAATTCCAGTACAAGGCAAAATGTGCCATATAAGCAAGTAATGGGATTTTTAACATGAGCCCTATCCCTGAGGAAAAGGGGATCTGTCAGGGAACGTCTCAGAAGTGATGCCTACACAGAAGAATGAAGAATATTTCAGGAAGAAGAAGCAACAGAGTCAAAGACCTAAAGGCAAGAAATTAACTTATAGACCAAGATCCAAATCAGGTTTTGTACTTACTGGAAAGTAGCACGTAAGGAGAGAGTTAAGTGTAGAGGTTTTAACAGATCAATTTCTGATAAATAAGGAATAAGTCTGAGCAGACAGTCAACATCACAAAGACAGGAAAGTGTGTGTCTGTGTGTGCACGCGTGTGCACAAGCATCCCTTCCTGCCCAATAACCCCTCTAACATAAGCTGTGAGCCTTACTTAGCAAGAAGAAGAAATCTCTCTAAGGCTGTATCTATAAACACAGACAATACTAGTGAGTTGTAAGTATCCTGAGTTTATACATGTAAGTCCATATGTGAAGTTCAAAGCATTTTTTACTGTAATAGCAAATTTTCTCTACTGAAAAAGAACAGAACACTACCCATTTTTAAATTTACAGAATTATTCAAACACTCACTATAACATTTTCAACATTTAAAGTAGTCGGAGACTGTACAGTAGTCCCCCCTTAGCAGGCAAGGGATGTATTCCAAGATCCCCAGTGGTCGCCTAAACCTGTGGATGGGATGGAAACGTGTACACAGTATGTTTTTCCCACACCTACGTATGACAGGTACCCAGAGGCCCCCAGGCAGGCAGCGTCAATCTGTCAGACATCACACGGCTCAGCACGGCCACCCCCTGAACTGTGCTTTCCAGGTTCATTCCCAGTGCAGCAGGAGGAAGCTGCTCTGGGACAGACTGGGATGGCACTGTGATTTCATCCCACTATTTTCAGAACAGACTGCGGATAACTGAAACCATGGATAAAGGGGGACTACTGTATTCTCAACAACAAAATGTTGTTGTTGTTGTTGCTATGTACCGTCGAGTCGGCCCCGACTCATAGCGACCCCTCCTTGGGTTTCCGAGGCAGTATCACTATGGAAGTAGGATTGCCCAACCTTCCTTCTGAGGAGTGGCTGGTGGGTTTGAACCGCCAGCCTTCTGGTTAGCAGTCAAGTGCTTTAGCCACTATGCTACCAGAGCTCCTAACAACAAAATAAATTATTAAAAAATATATAAAATAATGCAAAAAAAAAAAAATCCCAGATAACAAGTTTCTTCTCTCAAAAAAAAAAAAAAAAAAGTTTTCTAAAGTTTACTTAGCTTAGAAATTATCTCAAATATACACATTTTCTTCCCCTTCTTTCTCTTTCACTGGGACTGCACAGTATTATAACAGAAGCAAGCATCATTAGTGTTTACCTCTCGGCCTGTAAGGATATGTCTTGCCAACTTCACTTTTGCAAAATTCCCTTTGCCGATTGTTTTCAACAGTCTGTAGTTTCCGATGTGAGGCTGGTCGTCTGCACAGGAAGCTATAGAGTTTCTACATCGAGCTCCGGAGCGCCCGGTTCGAGAGGTAACTTCTTGACGCCCATCTCCATGTGAGGTGTGCTAAAACACAATATGCACAAAGACAAGGAAGTGAGAGAACACACAGTTCTTGTCAAGTTTTCAGAGTCTCTGTTGAAGAGAAAAAGCATTACTTTTTTTTTGGTAAACCTTTATTGTGCTTTAAGTAAGTTTACACAGCAAATTAGTTTTCCATTCAGTAATTCCTACAAAAACTGTTCCAAGACATCAGCTGCAATCTCTGCAAAACATTAACAGTGCTTTCATTTTCATCTTAATGTATCTGCACCTCAAAGGATCTACCTCATATAAGAAAATAAGAGAATGCTGAGAAGTACATTATCAAGTGTTGAAGTTCAACTCAGTATTCAGAAAGAAAACGACAGATATTTTGCATATGTGGCTGTCACATGAAATAAGGGTAATAGCTTTCGAGTGCTAACCAGAAGGCTGGCGGTTCAAACCCACCAGCCAATCCTTGGAAGGAAGGTTGGGCAATCTACTTCCATAGTGATACCACCTCAGAAACCCAAGGAGGGGTCGCTATGAGTGAGGTCTGACTTGACGGCAGTGCACTGCATTTTCTGTTTATGATCATAAATGACTTAACTCTTCCATATACAAATAAACATACCAGAAGCTGGACTATATGAAGAACAACACAGCATTAAGATTGGAGGAAGACTCATTGACAATCTGCGATATGTAGACAACACAACTTTGCTTGCTGAAAGTGAAGAAAAGTTGAAGCATTTACTGATGAAGGTCAGAGATTACAGTATTCAGCGTGGATTACACCTCAACGTAAAGAAAACAAAAAGCCTCACAACTGGACCAATACACAACATCAAGATAAATGGAGGAAAGACTGAAGTTGTCAGGGATTTCATTTTATCTGGATCCACAGTGAACACCCATGGAAGCAGCAGTCAGGAAATGAGACATCATATTGCACTAGGCAAATCTACTACAAAACATCTCTTTAAAATGTTAAGAAGCAAAGACGTCACTCTGAAGACTAAGGTGCACCTAACTCAAGCCACAGTATTTTCAATAGCCTTATATGCCTGTGAAAGCAGGGCAATGTTTACGGAAGACCAAAAAAGAGTTGATGCTTTTGAACTGTGGTGCTGGCGAAGAACAGTGAAAATACCATGGGCCGCCAGAAGAACAAACAAATTTGTCTCGGAAGAAGTGCAGCCGAAACGATCCTTAGAAGCGAGAACGGCCAAACTTCGTCTCCCCTACTTTGGCCATGTTGTCAGAAGAGAAAAGTCCCTGGAGGAGGACATCATGTTTGGTGAAGCAGAGGGTGAGCCAGAGAGGGGCGGTCCTCAGCCAAACAGACGACTCAGTGGCCGCAACAATGGGCTCAGGTACAGCAAGGCCTGTGAGGACAGCGCCCGACTGGGCAGCGTCTCGTCCTGTTGTACACAGGTCACGGAGAGCTGCCGTGACTCAATGGCACCTAACAACAATCAATGTACCATCACACATGACCCTCACCACATTTTGGGAAGGCAGGGCATCTAATGTCACCATTTACCAAACAAGGATACCCTTGTAACTTACCAAGGTCACATCATTATTTAGTGAGAAATCCAAGGGGAACCTGGACTCCCAATTTCTTTGTATGCTACGCTGCCAACAATAACTCAAATAGGTATGTTTAAAGAAACAGCTAGACTGGCCCTTGACAAATGTTTGTTAACCTGACTAACCGAGTAAAGGATTTAACATGCTCGGTACAGGTAAAACTAACCATATGCACCTCTAGCCCCATCAAACAGCAAGGCACCAGCATCATGAAGAGCTGCTGTGGACTAACCTGCACAGACCGCATCCAGGTGAGTACAGCCTCCCCCCCCCCCCATGTGCTCACAGGTACGCTGCCCGCTGCCTGCCCGCTCCTCGGCTGTGAGTGCACCTGCTTCAGAAGGCTTCTCATTCTCGGGCGCACACACACAGACTTTACCAAGCTCTTTATTCTTTTCTCTCTTCCAACTTTTAGTCCAGAAAAATGCAGAGGGTATAGGTCAAAACAATACTGATTCTAGCTGATAAACATGAGAAGTAATTTTACAATACACTCAGGAAAAAGGAAAGTAAGTGTTTGAAAGTAACAAAACAGAAAACCAAACTCACTGCCGTGGAGTTGATCCTGACTCATAGCGACCCCTCCTTGGGTTTCCGAGGTGGTATCACTACAAAAGTAGATTGCTCAACCTTCCTTCCAAGGAGTGGCTGGTGGGTTTGAACCGCCAGCCTTCTGGTTAGCAGTCAAGTGCCTTAGGCACTACGTGACCAGAGCTCCCTTGGAAGTAAGAGTAAGCTTGAAAAACTTGTGCCATCAACCCTGAGGCCCTCAGAAGATGTCCTGTCCCGAATTTCTGCTTTAATCTCTATCTTCTTATTCATGTTCCTCTAACTAAATATTCTCTTTCTCTTGTACCGGGTGTGGGAACACTAGCCAATGACCACATTAAGACTTCAGGACAACAGTTTCTATTTTGATTGCATATATAGTTTAGTAACATAGGCTTTTTTTGACCAGTTACAAATGTGAGTAATCTGTAGCTTTGTTTCTGTAACAAAAATGGTTCTAATTTACAAATTAGAAGTTCTGGAGAAACAACCTATATAAATGCGGACTTCCGGATCCAAGAAAACAAACTAAAACAATGACGATGACTCAGCTATGACACTAAGGCTTTGCACAAAATGGACACATGTTGTGTGACCCCAGGCCCATGCCACTGCAGCACAAATGGGATTTTTACATGTATTGGAGTACGGTTTTAAAAGAATTCTCATAATCATGTTTGTTAAGTTTATCTTCAAACCAGATTTTAATTCTACCAGAATTTAAGTTTCATGAAAAGAAGGGCAGTAATCTACTGTTTTGGGGACCTTAGCACAGTAGTTGGCACATTGTTGTTGCCGTTAGATGCCATGGAGTCAGCTATGCCTCTTAGAGACCTTACATACACAACACAATGGAACACTGCCTCGCCTCACACCACCTTCACAATCTTCGCTAAGTCTGAGCCCACTGTTGGAGCTACTGTGTCAATCTGGTCTCCCTCTTTTTTTGCTGACCCTAAACCAAGCATGACGTCTTTCTTTAGAGACTGGTCCCTCCTAATGTCATGTCCAGAGTAAGTGAGACAGTCTCTCCATCCTTGCTCCTAAGAAGCATTCGAATTGTACTTCCTCAAGACAGATCTGTTCATTCTTCTAGCAATCTAAGGTTTATTCAATATTCTTTGCCAACACCATAATTCAAATATGGTGATTCTTCTTTGGTCTTCCTTATCCATTGTCCAGCTTTCGCATGCATATGAAGTGACTGAAAATGCCACGGCTTGGGTCAGGTGCACTTCAGTCCTAAAAGTGACATCCTTTTCTTTTTGTTTGTTTTAATTGTGATTTGGGTGAAAGTTTACAGAGCAAATTCATTTTCCATACAACAGTTCCTACACATTTTCTTTTCATGCCATCGACTGCAATTCCCCACAATGTAACAGATCTTCCCTCTTCCCTTTATCTTTCCTACCCATGAATGCCCACCATCTGAGCTGTCTCCCTATGCAAACACTGCCCTTTTCTTCTCCCACAAATGACTGGCGGCTCCAAAGAGTGTATCTACCTGATGTCAAAGTTCACCCATATATGCCTGTCTACTGTTTGGCTGGAAGCCATGGGAGTGAGTTCAGTTCTAGGCCTGAAGAGTAACTGGGGCCGTAGTCTCGGAGGTCTCACCAAGCTCTATCAGACCAGCAAACCTGGTTTATTGTTTTTATGATTTTGGGATTTGTTCCACATTGTTTTGCCACTCCATCCAGGGTCTCAAGCACCAATCCCCCTGAGTGGCTGACCGTAGTAGTCAGGTATCATCTAGTTCTTCTGGTCTCATGGCGAAAAGTGATTATCTTTGCTTTTTAAGTCTTTTAAGAGCTCTTTTTGCTATGGATTTACCCAACGCAACATGTCATTTGATCTCCTGACTGCTGCTTCCATGGGCATTGATTGTTCACCCAAGAAGAATGAAATCTTTGACAACTTCAATCTTTTTTCCATTTACCACGATGTTGCTTATTGGTCTAGTTGTGAGGATTTTCCTCTTCTTTATGATGAGGTGTAATCTGTATAGAAGGCTACAGCATTTGATCTTCATCAGAAAGTGCTTCAAGTCTTCATTTACAGCCAGCCAGGCTGTGTCATCTGCATATCGTAG